GGGTGCAGCCTCTCCCAGCCCTGGAGAGTGGAGCTGAGCTGCTCTCTGCCATCCTGGTGCTGTAGGAGCTGTGAGACCAAAGTTAACCCCATGTAGGAAGGGGGGTTAAATAATGGAAACCCCATGTAGGAAGGGGGGTCGGAACAAAACCCCAGTCTTCAAAATGACCTGTAGTCCCTCCAGGGACTTCTGCTCAACTCCCAGAAGAGAAGGAATTCAGGAATTAATCACCTGCAGCTCTCAAAACTGGCCTGTGGCCCACTGCTGCATGATCACTGCTGTTATTTTCTTTCTATACACAATAACTTTTTTTTTTTTTTAAATGCAATGCATTTATTAAAGACTTCCCCATAGCTGAGTTCCCCAGTCCTCTCTGCTTTGTTTACCAGGAATTATTGCCTTTCTGGAAGCCTGTGCTAACCTCTGATGCCTGAATACTATTCTGCAAGCAAATATATCACATTGGTACAGCCTCAGCCCCGGACAGTTAACGCTGGGGCCAGACCGGTGGGAAAATCAGCTGTACTCTGTAGGAAATTTTCTCATTCAAACCCCTCCATCAGACTGTGACCAAAAAGCAAAAGAGCTGGGAAAAGCTCGGGTTTCCAATTATTCTTGTCAAAAGGGAGTGAAAAACTGGAACGGGATCGGTCTCCTCCTGTGCCGCGGTTCTTATTGTGCTGTAATGATACAGCCTGGCCATCATCCACTCCCTCCTTCTCGCCTTGCATCTCCCTCCCCGAACAAACGATACTTGGTTGCCGTTAATTGGGAGCAGCCAAAATAACTGAATCCCCCGGAGATGGGGGGGTGAGGACAGAATCTCAACGAGACGCCCTGCCAATGAATGTGGCTTTCAGCTGCTCCTACGCCCCCGTGAAGGGAAAAGAATAGGGGCTCTGTGAAAATGAAACAGCCAGTGCTGACCTTGGGTTTCTGGGTTGGTTTTTTTTTGTTTTTGTTTTTTTTTTTTTTAATTTCTTTCTCTCTTCTAACGTTAATTGCTCGTCGCTCTGTCCATCACATGATCGCCGGAAATTGCCAACTAGTTCTCACTCGTTAATGTCACAAGTTTGGTTTAAAATAAGCAGTCTACCCAGTTCCTGATTCAGCGCTGTTTATCTGAGTATCAGATGTGGTTCTTGTGATTTCAGGCTATTATTTTGAAAATCTCTGACCCTCCCTTGACCCATTAAAAACTGGCATTTTCCAGCTATGAAAGCCTGCCCTGGAAGAATCTCTCCTGTCTGCTGCTGTCAGGGGGATCTGCAGCGTCTAACCTCTCCCTAGCTCTGCTCAAAGGCGATGCTCGCTGCATACGCTGAGCTCTCGGGATGAGAGACCGTGGCAAAATCCTGGCGCTAGCACACGCCGTACAAGCCGGAGCCAGCCTGTGCCTGGTACAGAAGCTGCCTGTCTCTCGTATCCTCGTCAGCATGCAAAGCAGGCAGGCCGGGGACGGTGGAAGGGGCAATGTGCCCCTCGCACTGGCATGCATCCATATGCCCAGGCTTGATTGCCATCTCCCTGCATGTCTTCTGGTTGCTTTTGCTCTGGCCGGGCAGGTTTCAGCGTATTGCTGATGCCTTGCAGAAGATGGGGGCTCCAGCCCTGCTCCCCTGCAGCTCACCTGCCCCATCGGTGCTGTATCTGAGCTGTTTTTCAGTTCCTGATGTCGTGCGGTCCACACTTGGTCTGTGTTCTCCAGCTTCAGCATGCCCTTTCTCCTTGTACCTTGCCACCGTGATCCCCCATCTCCAACACCAGTGCCTAAATACCTTTTTGGAAGGTTTTCCAGCACCCTGCTGGGGTGAACTGGGATGAAGATTCAGCACTGAGCCCGCGGTAGTGGGCCCAAATCCTTGGACCACACTTAGTTAAAGGGAAACTGGGAGGTGGTGAGTGTGGGTCCAAGCCCTCTTGCTTGGGTTGTATCAGAGCAGGTGCTGGGAGAGGTGTAAAACACATGGCGGGTTAACGGGCAGGGCAGAGGACACACAAAGCACTTCAGAGTCCATACACCTCTGCACAGGGCAAAACATTTGAATAAGGCCTGGAGATCATCAGCTGGAGACAGCAGGCAGTGAAGGAGATGAAATTCATGAGGTTCAACAAGGCCAAGTACAAGGTCTTGCACCTGCGTCGCGGCAACCCCCAGTATCAGTACAGGCTGGGGGATGGAGGGATGGAGAGCAGCCCTGCCGAGAGGGACTTGGGGGGGCTGGTGGATGAAAAGCTGGACATGAGCTGGCCATGGGCGCTGGCAGCCCAGAAGGCCAACCGTACCCTGGGCTGCATCAAGAGAAGCGTGGCCAGCAGGGCGAGGGAGGGGATTCTGCCCCTCTGCTCTGCTCTGGTGAGACCTCCCCTGGAGCCCTGCGTCCAGCTCGTGTGGCCTTGCAGGGCTTAACGGGGGCCCATAGGAAAGACAGGGACAACCTTTTTAGCAGGGCCAGCTGTGACAGAACAAGGGGTAATGGTTTTAAACTAAAACAGGGTAGGTTTAGACTAGATATAAGGAAGAAATTCTGTACAGAGGGTGGTGAAACGCTGGCAGTGGTTGCCCAGAGAGGTAGTGAAGGCCCCATGCCTGGAAACATTCAAGGCTAGGTTGGACGGGGCTGTGAGCAACCTGATTTGGTTAAAGATGCCCCTGCTCACTGCAGGGAGGTTGGGCTGGATGGCCTTTGAAGGTCCCTTCCAACCCAAACCATTCTATGATTCTATGATTCTATGCAGCCAGCGTGGGAAGGGAGCTCTTGCCTGTGCATTTAGTCCAAGAAATCAAACACTGTCTTTCTATAGACACACCCATAAAATCTCCCTGTCCTTCCCACCCCAACATGCTCAGCCTCCAGCCAAATTCTGGCCAGATCCATCCAAAGGAGATAGAGGGCAATAGAGGGTGAGTACTACAGTGCTGTGTAGCCAGGGATGGTCATCTCGCTTGGGCTTTGCCTTATCGTGAAGCTGAGGTCTAGAGTAAGTTGGATGAAGGAGCCTTTCTTTCTCCATCAGCTACAAGGAGCCAGAATAGACTGGCTGTACGTTAGAACGGGGAGAGGGAGTTTTGCCCCCTTTTCATACCATCCCCTCATAGGAATGCCCCAGAGTCGACATTTGCTTTGCCTCCCTAAATTTTGGCATATATCCCCATAGGGATACCCAAGCTGCTGAATGAACTACGTGCCCCCATCACAGATCCAGACCCTGCAGACCCTTAGGAGAGAAACAAAGTCTCTGTGAATGTGCACAACATCAACCCCCCCACCCCCAGTAAGGGTGCTATCTTCAGCCTTATGCTTCTGTAAAACTAAAATACCATTTGCGGGGACCATCCTTCCTTCTGCCTTTTGTGGCTAAGGCTAAAGCAGCCAGAGGCAAACAAGGGGAAAAAAATAACGGCCCTGAGAGGTGCTAAGGGAGAAAGCCTGGAAAGCACAGGGAGAGAGAGAACTGGCTGGAAAATGTAACTTAATTATGACAACTCCCATCTGCTAGAATACGGAAGCAACGTGAAAATATTTTGTCTGTTATCTGAGGTTTTGGGTTTCCAGAGGAAGTGAGACTTGCAACCTGGTTCAGAGTCTGCTCTGACTTTGCTCTTTGTGCTGTCTTGCCCTGGGGCTGTCTGACAGGTCCCACCTCTCTGCTTTCACTCTCTCTGTGTTCAACACCTTCCCATCTGTATCTCCAGCTTAGCATGGGTCTCCTATTTGCCCGTGCAAACTATTCCTCTGCTTCACCTCTGGCCGCAGCTGGTATCTGATGCAACAGAAGAAAAATAAGGTGTTTCCCACCCTTGGGCAAAATACTCATTTGCATTTACTTATTTGTGGCCATCTCCATGGACTGCAGCTCTGGTTGGGTGTATAGAAGCTTAGGAGGCAGGCTCCGCTCCCGCAAACGTGTGTGTGTGTTGGCTGCACAGGGGTAACCACAGCCCTGCAGAGTCTGGTGGGGCTCCATCAGCATCAATTTCAGTTCAAGCATGGGCATCTGTGCGGCGAGTTGTCTTTTTCATGTGGCATCAGCACGAGCACGGAAGAGAAATATCTACAGTGGAAGGGAAACAGAGGGTATTGGGAGTGAAGTCAGTGCTGTGAGGGAGTCTCCAGACATAAGGATCCTACTGTGCCCTGGATCTGAATCTTTCCAGCCAGAGCTTAGCAACTCTGGGGGTTGCCAAGGAGCAGGGCAGGCAGAGGAGTGCCCAGCACTGGGATTTGGCTGCTCCGAGCACCCAGGCACATCTTGTCTATCAGCCCCTCAGCATGGCTCCGTGGATGCTCTCAAGGCTTCGATGCTATACCCAAACTTGCAGCCAGCTCTGATGCAGGGGCTCCTCGTTTCTCCGTCACCTCCCAGTCCTGCTGCTTCTTACACATGGAGGGATGAGGGCTGCCGGTTCGGGACCATGGAATTCTCCCCTTCTCCCTCTGCTGTACTCACTGCAGCAGCCCCAGGTGTGCAACCCATGTGTAAGTTGTGTGGCAGGGAAGCTGGGTTTGTTTGCAGCCTTCACAGGTTGGTTGGGACCCTCTTCACTTAGGTGCAGAAAGGCAGGTTATCCCTTTGATGAGTACTTACACCCCACTTTTGTCCCCAAGCAGTGTGTTCTGGTGAAAGGGGTGAAAAATCCCCTCCACAAATCATCAGGTGCTTTTTTGACATCTAATTGCTTCTTGCACCCCGTTATCGGTAGCTCCTGGCTACTCCTAAACATGTTCCAAGCTGAGTGTCCAAGGAAGTGGGGAAGACGGGCAGGCTTGTGACATTGCTGTGCCCTTCTGACATAGGCTGAACTGCAGGGACAGGGCTGTGCCAACCTTCTCCACGCTGAATTTAGGTCTGCTGAGTCAAGAAAAGCCCCCTTCCCCTAAGAGCCGGGCCAGCATCTCAATAGTGCTATGGCTTATCCCACCCAGGAATGGCAGCACGTTCTTCTCCCCGATGCATCACCGTTAACATTTCTTCTTTCTCCCCTCCCTGCAGGGCACGAAGACGACATTCCCCAGAGCCGGGCTCGCAGCCGCCGCGCACAGCGACATGACAGCCATCCTGGAGCGGATCAGCACGCTGTCCCTCAGTGGGCAGCATCTCAGCCGTCTTCCCAGGCTGCTGGAGGATGGCTTCCCCAAGATGCCTTGCACGGTCAAAGAGTGCGAGGTACCGCAGCTCTTCCGTGAGCCGTACATCCACACCGGGTACCGTCCCACTGGCCAGGACTGGCGGTACTACTTCCTTAGCCTCTTCCAGAAGCACAATGAGGTGGTCAATGTGTGGACTCATCTCCTGGCAGCGCTGGCTGTGCTGCTGAGATTCAAGACGTTTGTGGAGGTTGAGCAGTTACCCGTGGACGCGTGGTCCTTGCCTTTGCTCATCTTTGTCCTCTCCTCTGTCACCTACCTGACCTGCAGCCTCTTGGCCCACCTCCTGCAGTCCAAATCGGAGCTGTACCACTACACCTTCTACTTCGTGGACTACGTTGGTGTCAGCATCTACCAGTATGGTAGCGCCCTGGCCCATTTCTACTACAGCTCTGACCAAGCCTGGTATGACAAGTTCTGGCTTTTCTTCCTGCCAGCAGCTGCTTTCTGTGGCTGGCTGTCTTGTGCTGGCTGCTGCTACGCAAAATATCGGTACCAACGGCCTTACCCCATCATGAGGAAGATGTGCCAGGTGATCCCAGCTGGGCTGGCGTTCATCTTGGATATCAGTCCTGTTGCTCACCGGGTGGTTGTGTGTCACCTGGGGGGCTGTGAGGAAGACGCTGCTTGGTACCACACGTACCAAATACTGTTTTTCCTTATCAGCGCTTATTTCTTCTCCTGCCCGGTCCCTGAGAAGTACTTCCCCGGCTCCTGTGATATCATCGGCCATGCCCACCAGATCTTCCACACCTTCCTGGCCATCTGCACCCTATCACAGCTGGAGGCCATTTTATTGGATTACAAGAGCAGGCAGGAGATCTTCCTGAAGAGACATGGGCCTTTCTCCATCTATCTCTCCTGCATCTCTTTTTTTGGCCTGGTGGCTTGTAGTGCCATCACAGCTTACATCCTGCGATGCAGGATCAAGGCCAGCCTGGCTAAAAAGGACTCCTGAGAGTCATGAACATGATGGGCATGACATCACCAGGGTGGTGAAAAATCAAGAAAAGGGGCATAACATATTAGAGACATAACTGGCTTATTTGCCTAACACACTGTGACTAACCTGGACCCTGGGCTCAGGTGGAGGGCCGGAGACTTGACGCTGGATGCATTTTCACAGCAGAGACTGCCTTCTGCCATCCAGGGGGACATGGGGTGTTTTAAGCCAGAACAGGTCATTTAACCAAGGATGCTGGTTAGGCAGAGGTTTCTTGTTCACTCTGGCAAAGCTGTGGGGGACACCTTGCTGAATGTCAAGGGAGGGCAGCCTGAAGGCTGTGAGACTGTAGAAGGGTCTGCCAGGGCTCACAACGCAGCCAAGAACGCACTGCAAGGACCACGGCTGGATGTGATGACCTCTCTGGGTTTTGCCATCTCTGCTATCTGTGGGAGACCTGTTACTTTCAAAGGCAGTAGCAAGGTTTCAGGAGGAGTCTAGGGTTCAGTCAAGGGCATGTGTGGCACAGTGGCTGGTATAATCCTTTTGCTGCTCCAGCTGGGATAAGCCAGGTTCTCTCTGTGGTCGCCTTGTCAGGTATCTCAGTGCCAGGTTGCTGAGGTGGCTTTGGCAAAGCAGTTTTGGAGACTTAGGCCTGACCTGGGATCCTTTAGGACAAACTGGGTCTGAACCTGAGCCCTGTGTCTGCCAGTGACTGGTGTGGGTCCAGCACAGGTGGAGATGTTAGGTCAGCTCAGTCTTCTCTTTCTGTATGACTGCACCATCTGCAGTGGAGTTGCTCATCAAAACCAAGGACTCAGGCTGTTGCAAGGATTATTAACAAGAGATGGGGTCTTTCTCGGCAGTTGGAATTTTACCTAAGGTAGTGGCTGTTTGGTAGCCTACCAGAAAGGTCTTTAAAGGCTCCTCACTTTCATTTTAAGTGCTTAGTTGCCTTTGAGGAGCTGGGCCTGGGTCAGGTTGGAGACGGTTTTGAACCTTCCTCAGTAGCAGTGGCAGAGGTCAAGCACCCCTGAGGCCATCAACATTCAGGGCTCTGGCCCCAGGAGGGGAGATGCTTTTGATGCTGAGCACATCATTTTGGCTGCTTGTGTGC